AGTTCCAGGTATAAATCTCCACATTACTGTTATATTCTCTACATTACACTCAGTTCCAGGTATAAATCTCCACATTACTGTTATATTCTCTACATTACACTCGGTTCCAGGTATAAATCTCCACATTACTGTTATATTGTCTAAATTACACTCGGTTCCAGGTATAAATCTCCACATTACTGTTATATTCTCTACATTACACTCGGTTCCAGGTATAAATCTCCACATTACTGTTATATACTCTACATTATACTTATAAAGAGCTAAATGATTTTAATTAGGTGGGACTGGGATTGAGGTACACTTCCCTAAATAATCACACCATTCTTACTTCATAGCAGGAGAACACTCTCCCTCTCTCAATTTTGGTGGAGGTTCCATTGACCGGTCACTCTTCATGGACACAGAGCTGGATTCAAGTGATTCTGATGTCTCTCTCTGAGTCACACTAAAACATCATCAGAAACCACATGTAATGTCAATCTTTAATGTCCTTTAACATTCACATATATTTTAGTGTTACGTAACTGTGAATGTCATTTTGAATCGTCTATAAACAAGCTGCCCTACATAAATGGTGCAAGAACATCTTTATTTCTCTGAATTATATTTTGGATATCTTCTTTACCTCCCGTCAGTAGAATAGTCTTTGAATTTTGGTGGAGGTTCCATAGACCGGTCACTCTTCACGGACACACAACTGGGTTCAGATGAGTCTGTTCTCTCTCTTTGAATTAGACATGAAGAAGCACTGTAAATTTTTAAAATTTCATGACTCTCCTTATATTAGGCAGTTTTTAAATTCATACTTAGTGACTGATTTCTGTAAACTTTCTGCAGTTCAGATTAATAAAAGTGTCAGATAACAGTTTTCATTTACATTTAGCTGATGTTTCTGTTCAAAGTGAATGAGATTTTCCAGCTACAGAGGCAGCAGAGCTGGGCTTTAATGTCTTGTTTAAAGGCACAATATCTGTATGTATCAGTGATCATCAGCTGGGACTGAAGCTCTTAATCCAAAGTCCAGTTCTATGACTGCTTAGCTACTTTATTGACTGATAACACTTCATCAGCACATCTGTGTTCACAGTGTCACACTATTCTCACATCTGGTCTTTTTCTGTGTGTTCTTCTCCAGATGAACTCATTTTGGAGCTCATATCTCCTACAGGTCACAGCTGGAACCCTGCAAACAGACACATGCAGAGAAATGAAGCAGGACACATATTAAAGCTAGCACCCCGACCATGTATTTTTACCCACAACTTTGCATATATAAGCACTGTGTGCTTTGGTTTATTACCTGAAACTTCAGCACTGTTTATTCTTGATTTACACACACAGTAGTGTGTTCACTTGCGAGCCACTACATGAGTTTGTGTTGCACCAGAGGGCTGCCATACATAAGACATTACTCAAACACAAGGCCTGCACCAATTTGTAAGACTCTTTGAATGTGACAGAGAAATGAATTCTCAGTTTCTAAGAAGACTCAACTGGTGTGTCCAGTAGAAGAAAGGTCTACCTTTTTTACTGGGGAAATCCCAATTTTTATTCCTTTATTTATTTACTTTTATATGATTAAATACTAAAAAACTGGTTTCTGATGTATTTCCTCATGAAAATAAAATGATTCATGATTGTAGATGTAATTGGTGGACGCAGATACCAGTACCACCAATGGTTAAAGAAACTCTGCATTGTGCTTCCATTGCAAGGACTTTATTCTAATAACAGAAATAACACAGGCTTTTAGTATTGGTTCCCTACTTCTTCTCTCCTCTTCTCATATGAAAAGAATATGAAAGAATAAACTCGGATGTCAAGTAAATGATCTTGGCAGTGTGTGCATGAATACAATTCAATCTAAAATTTACCATCAGCAAAACATTATACATACCAAGTTCATATAATGAACCCTAGAACATATAAAGGAAAACCTGGCAATCTTAAAGTGCTGATGTGTAATCAGTGTAATCTGATACCTACTTTCTCATATGTGACAAAAATTAAAAATGAAGGAGGCAGGGAAGGGAAGGAGATTTAAGAGAGGAAACAGGGAACATCCCAAGATTAACTGCCTCATACAGCTCGTACAGGCTATATCATCAAGAAGAATTTTGTATAATTAAAACATTATAATGTTGTTACTTACATAAACATTTTAACTTTGTCACTTACATAAACATTTGAAGAGTATAAGAAAATGACTACATGGAGCACAATCAGAGGTGCAAGGAAAATTGTAAAATCAGATGTTTTTATTTTGGTTATGTCATTAGTATATGGCATGGGTGTCCAATCTTATCTGCAAGGAACCGGTGTGTTTTCACTCCAAACCAGCAGGAGCTCAACTGACTCCACTTCTTTAATCAACTGTTTACAGTCAAACAACTGATCATGTAATCTCCTGTTTTGCTGGAATGAAAACCTGCAGCCACACTGGCCCTTTGCGGATAAGACTGGATAACCCTGGTATATGGCATGAACTTTCAAAATAAAATCACATTACAGAAATGTTGATTTACTAAAGGCATTATTGTACAATAACACATGAAGTAAAACACTGAAGAAACACTGAGGAGCTCTATTATTCTGCTGTCTGTCTCCACTGAGTAATATTTCAACTTTACATTTTTCAGTTCAGTCTCATCACAGACAGATGACCCTCTTCATTTACTTCCTGGTGACACTTTTGTTAAAAGCTCTTACAAGTCTGATATATCAAATTGCTAAAATCTGTGTGTTAACAGTGTCTATAGTGCTGATTCAGAAACTCCAGTACAGAGTCAGATACTCACTGTGTTTCCTCTGAATTAGATTTATTCCTCTCTCTCCATAAAATGATGACCTGCTCAGAGTCTCTCTCGCTCTGTTCTGAACCAGTTTGTCCTGTTCAGTTTATCACGTGACTCTGCTGGAGGTGTAGACTCCAAAATCAGGTTCATCTACATATTTTATTCACAGCAGTGCTGAACCTAATACAGCTCTGAGCCTGGTTGAGTAAATGAAGCACAGATATGTTTACTGTACTCTATCCTGCTGCCAGCGAATCTCATAGGTTTCCTTGCTCAACATGGTGAAGAAAGACCTACCGTAACAGGAGGAAAGGTGCTACTTACTGATATGTGGAACAATCACAATCAAAAACTATTGTTTGGGGCATATGACTGTTAAAATGAGGCTACAATGAAAACACACACAGGAAACAAAGTCATATAGCCTTGGGCAACATGGACAACAACAATGTTTTGTTAGTTTACTCTTTTTTTGTAGGTTGACTTTATTTTACATTTAAATGACTCATAATGTCCACAATTCCAAACCAGAGTAGATTTTAGTCTGCTGATCAAGGAAAACGTCAGTGTCCTTTAACAGTGTTGAATAGACAGGTTCCTGCTACACACTACAGCTGTTATAGTGCCACATTATCTTGCTCAAACACACAAAACCATGTAAGTGTTTTATATATAGTGGTTCATGTAATAGTCAATAGTTCATGAAAAAGTTCAAATATATTTTTCAAAATTGTTTTGTTAACTCTCAAGATATCAACTACTTTTTTCAAAATAAGAAATTTGTGTTACTGTTTACTGTGTGTTTACTTGCATGTTATATATAATGATTTCAGGAGAAAGAACACACTTTTAGTTAATATAAATGGTTTAAACATTGTGTTTAAATGTCTAATGCATTTTCAATCCTATCCCTGTTTTACAGTGGTTTAACTTACTACATAAACTAGCTAAATATGCCACAACTCTCCAAGTAGCTGGAATATTGAAGTTGTTTTTTTTCTGCTGTAATGTTACATCCAAAATAATTCCAAGCCTTTACAGAGTTGGCTAGCCTAGGTGCATAGCCAGATCAAAATATCACCTGAGGCAACTAACTAGCCAGCAAACTAATAGCCAGCAAAAAACTAATAGCCAGCAAAAAAAATTAAAACATTTAATTTTACACCCATTTCCATCTAAATTAAATAATTTCAACAAATAGGAATGTACTGATAACAAATTTTAATCACATTCCGATGATATCAATGCTAAAACTCTATGTAATACATAAATTCACCATTTTTTCCAGTTGGTACCCATGAAAGAAGTAAGGCTTCTCTGCCTCTTGAAACCAATTGTAACCCTTGATTGTTAGAGATGTTGACTTATTTTCATTTAGAATACAAACACATAGAACTTGACTGGGGTGCCCAAACTTTTCTACAAGCAGAAAAGTTGCCTAACAAGGTTACAGATGCCTTACAAAATATCAAAAAATATGTACATACAAAATTGTGTGATTTGAAACAGGTTATGCCAAAAGCTGATTGAAATCATGAACTGGTACAAAAGCAGCATGTAGGAAAGGCTTAGTTCTTTAGGAGCAAATATGGGCAAAGGATCGCCAGTTTGCCCACAAAGGTGTGAGAACGTTATTTAAGTGTTCCTCAAAGAAAGGAAGGGATTTAGATATTTCACCTTCTACGGTGCATAACATAACTTTTTCAAGGAATAACGTTTCAAGGAATCTGGAGGAATTTTACTGCATAAAGAGAAAGGATGCAAGCCAAAGATGAATAAGCTCTCTGATCCCTCAGATTGCACTCTATCAAGAACCCTGCATCAAGAAACTTGAAACCTGTTATGCAAGGAGGCAGCCATACATCAATACAATGCAGAAATGCTGCTTTACTGCAGAAACGCTGAGTTCTCTGGGCCTGAGCTCTTCTCAGATAGTCTGAAACAGTGGAAATGTGTGCTGTGGTCAGAGGAGTCCATGTTTCATGTTGCTTTGGGGGAAAACAGACGTTAAGTTTTATATGCCAAAGATGAAAGGGACTTTTTAGATTTTTATCAGTGAAAGTTGCAAAAGTCAACATTTATCATGGTATGAAAGGGCATCAGTGCCCATGGCATGGGTGACCTGCATATGTGTGAAGGTACTATATGTATACTTATATTTTAAAAAACTAGTGCTAGGTTGTTAAGGTCTCAATTATTGAGTCACACTATTTATAATTAGAGACATTAGCATTTAGTAATGATTATAAACTACTTAATAAAATCAAAAGCATTGTTAGTAATCTATTTAGTAATCTATTTAGTAATGTTTATTACTCTCTGAAGTACGATTAATGAAAAGTACCTTTATTGTAAAGTGTTACCTATTAGCGTATACGCACTTTTAAAGAACAAGACCCATTGCGGAGTTTCACTTTCTGTTAAACCTGCTTGGGCAGGTTACTTGGTACTTGTATGTGCAGTGTTTACATGTAACCTTTTCTCCTGAAAAGGGTGGAGTAGGGGTGTTCTGTCTTATTCACCAGTGGCAGGTGTGGCTGCAGGATTAAATTCTAACCATGCAGGAGCACACCTGATCATTTTAGAAGATTGAAACCAAATGATTTAAACAGATCCTATTTATTTGGAATGAAAACCTGCAGCCACACTGGCCCTTTGTAGAAAAGATTAGACACCCCAGTGATAGAGTGATGCAGTTCTGGAACAAATTCACTGAATCTGTACTCAGTACACAAGTAGCTAAATGTTTACTTCAATCCAAGGCTGTGCTGTGGGTGAGGTAGAGCTGTTTCAATTAGCAGGACTAGTTTAGTCATGTTAGTGTTTATAAACTCTATCGGCGTTTCCGCTGGTTTAGAGCGTTGAGCTCGTGTCGTTAGTGTTTATAAACTCTATCGGCGTTTCCGCTGGTTTAGAGCGTTGAGCTCGTGTCGTTCTCTGTGCTGGCACCCAGGTGGTGGAACAAACTCCCACTGGCTGTCCGTACAGCAGAGTCTCTCACCATCTTCAAATGCAGACTGATGACCGCCTCTTTATACAGCACTTAAATGACCACTGAGTTAAGTATTCATTGTAATGTATTATACTGCACATATTGTATTGTATTACACTGCGTTGTGTTTAACTCTGTTACTTTTTCTCTAGAAATCAACAGGGACTTTTTGTTTCTAGTAGTATCTGACCTCAGGACTGACTTTCTCTCTAACCTATTGGTAACTAGCAAAGATATTTTTTCTAGATTGACAAAGCACTTTTTGTAAGTCGCTCTGGATAAAAGAGTCTGCTAAATGCTGTAAATGTAAATGTATTTTACAGGGTGTTCATCATTGCTCTTGCATGAAATTGTCCAGGTAAACAGCCATTCTAATGAGATATGATGAGATATGAAGACACTGTGACAAAGTCAAAAGCTCTCTCTGTCAGCAAAGAAATGACAGTAGCTATTTTGGTAGATGCTGCTCCTGAAGTGGCTGGATGATGCGCAAGGGAGTCCCATCAAATTTCTGAAGAGGGCAAGGCAGATGTCAGCGTGTGGGCTTTGAAAACAGCTGGTGGAGGACTTGGCAGAACAGAGGTGTTGGCTGTACAGCATCGTTCTGTGACACTTGAGTAGGCAAATTACTGGGAAGGTTGAGCAGCTGCAACATGATAATAACCTCTTTCATGGCTGTACTTAGCTGAACAAATTCTCTTTGAGTAAGCCTTCCTTGTTCAGCTACAATCTAGATTAGGTCCCTGTTGTTGGTTTCCACTATGCTGAATCTATCCAGTCTTCTGTAATGACTGACTTGGTGAGGTGGGATACAGGTGCACAGCAAGAAAGATCTTTAATGCTTCTCTGAAAGATCACAGTCCTAAATTTGTAGTCAAACGGGCAGCCGGAAGATCAAAACGGGCAAAATAAGCTATGAGAGGCATGACAAAATCAAGATCAAAAGTGTTTCAAAATTGTTCAAAACCACGAAATTCACTCTCATAGTGACAGAATTGACTATGACTACTGACTAATATAACTTTTGTCTGGCAAAAAGCAAGCTGAGAATGCCGGATTGATAAATGTACAAAAGACACCAGAATGTGGTGAACACAGTGTTGTAAAACCAACAAAGCATAAATCTGATGTTTATGAGCTGTTTTGTGTCCAACAGTTATCACTAGTTAGATGTGATACAAGTTGGGTACGTCTTCTTCTTCTGGGTACAAATGTCAACTGTTATCCATGTATTCAAAAAAGACAGACTAGACAACCTGCTGAGAAGTGCATAGATTTTGTTTGCTGGGACCTTTGAACATATGACGTGGTATCTGGCTACAAATTTCACCAACTGGCCCAACATTGGGTAAAATGGCAGTAAAAATCTGAAATTTGCATGTTTGTGATAGACTCCTACATCTAGCTTCAATATCTTCACATGTCAAAGAGAGAGCAACATGTGTGGCAGCCTGTAGTAAAAGAAATACAGCCATGCATATCAGCTGTTGGCTGTGACAACAGCCATCTAGACAGAAAAATACTGCAAAATCCTCCTTACCACAAATATTCTTGCCTTGTGCAACCAGCAACTACACTAATGAGCATTTGGAAATTATTTTGAGAGTTCTTTTTGCAGAATGTTACGTGTTGGTCTAGGGTGTAATGAAGCTGGGGGCAAGTGAAGGGACAAAAAGAAACCCACAGCACACAATGGTCCATGTTCAGACTATTTACATATATTTACATATCTCTCCAGGCATAAGCAGAGGCCAAAATAACAAACAAAAGCTAACACTAACTCCCAACCTAAATCTAACTCACCTAAACCCAACAAAAACAAAGAAAACACAGTTAACTTCCCTGACTTCCTAACTAGCCTAAAACCAGGAGAAAAGAGTCTACAAACAAAATGGTGCTTACCCCTTTCCAGCAGTGGTGACAAAAGAAACAAGTCAATTTAGCACTGTTGCATAGTTGTCTTTCTATAAACACTTTACACAGCACACGTTTGCCAAAAAAGACCACAGACCCAAAACTCACACAGGGCACCAAAAAACAACAGCAAGGTTGGTTCCCCTCCTCTTCTTCATTTTCCTGTCTCTTTTATGGTATTATCCAGGAAGTGCTTCTCCCACTGCACACACCAACCTTCAGCCTGGATAGAGCTCCCCCTAGAGACAGCGAGGACAAAGAAATACACAGACACACACAGAGAGTACAGGAAAATCCATAACAATTGCAGGAGGGAACATAGGAGACCTGTAACACAGAACCATTCAAACTGACAATCACAAAGACTCTCTTGCTACATAATTTAGGAAATATGTGATTTTTTTTACACAAAAAAATGTTTACTCTTTATGTTGCGGGTAGAAAAAGTGTGTAGCCTGAGCTTAACAAGGCAGTCAGAGAACTGCTTGTGGATTGGAGTTTTCAGGTTTATAGATGTGTGTAGTCTAGTTTTTTCTCTTTTCGCTCCTTTTAACATCAAACCTTAGTTTATGGTTTAATGCCGAACACTTTATTTTGCACATAATGATGGTCAGCATCTTGCCAAAAGGCCAGTTGTCAGACTGGGAGGATGTCACAGACATGTAATGGTCACAATCTCTGAAACTGAGATACTAATACGCAGCTGTAAAAGTTAGTCTATCGGATGTCCAACACTGCTGTGTTCTGCAGGGCTGGCATGCACACAGCCTAAAATTAAAAGCCATCAGCAAACTAGCATACTATATACTATGACATCAGCAGAGAGTAAGACACAGGGGTCGCCATGATCTCCTGCTGGAAGTGCTCTTTATTGAACACACCGGTAAAACATGCTCATACAGTGCATCAAACTTAGGAAGGAGATCACCTTTAGCTACACATTCCTCCCTGATGGTGCCCCCTCCCAGATAAAACACCCACACAATAACCACACTTTCCGACACAGAACATCACAAATATGCATAACTTTAACAAACAACAACAATACACAATACAAAGAGTCCCTTTATCAGAGGCCACACACATACCATGAGCCTAATAGTATGTTGCCCAAGCACTAGCCTGTGTCAAAAGGAGCAGATGTAGGTGGGCATTATATGAATGGGGCTGTTGGGTGTGGGTAAGCGTGCCATTAGATTTTGACATTGTGGAATCAGGTGAGTGCATATATTAAAAGCCAAGCCCTTTCAGACCTCCACAGACACATACATACACATATATACTTTTACAATATTTGTTGAAACAAAGCACTGAAGCATTGAATAAGGATTAAGTACTGATATTTATAATTGTTTACTAATCTTAATGCAGACTGGACAAAGAAACAAAAATGTAAAACACAGACAAAACTAAACATGACAATTACAATTTATAACACAAAAAATGGAACATGAAAACTGATCTGCTGTTAGCTTTCTGTGATCTGTTAGAGTGCATTCACTAATTATTGCATCCTTAGGGATATAGCCGCTAATGTCAAGGTGAAACCTTCTCTTCTTGAAGTGGAACAATTAGATCTCAGCTGTAAGACACTTTACAGTATTTGAACAACCACACTAAACTGATCCTGAGACTCGTAAAACCACTTATGCTTTTTTATTTCCATTTATACTGATCACACACACAGACACAGTAAAAACATTATTCTAATCAGTGAAGTACTATTCAGTGTTACATTAAATTAAGAAACAATAAGAAACACATTGATGATTCAAAATACTCACTCAACTCTTTTGGAGGCTTTTTGACGACTGGCAGCAGCCTTAAAAGACTTTCCTCTATGTATCATATTTACGCAGGTCAAACTCATCCAGCTCCTGTTCTGAGTTCAGCTCCTTCAAGACAATCATAACCTCCTCTACTCAGGTATGTTTGTACTTCCTCCACTAGAGAATGATCATTCAGACAGTGGAACAGGTTGATGGATTTCTCTGGAGAGGGATTCTCCCTCTCATTGGATCCTCTGAATTATGAGGTCGATAAAGAGTTGAAATATAAATATTGCTACATGTGAGCTAAAGCTACTGCGCACTAGATTGACGTCATCAGACAAAAGAAGCAGGTTTCCCTGCAGTTCTCTGTTCTTCATCTGATATTTACTGAAACACGATAGATCTTTTCAAATCAAGCTATACAGAATGTAAAGCTATACAAAAGTACCTGCAACGCAGGCTAATCCAGTACAGACTCAGCTTAATATCACTGCTGAACCCCTGATAAACTGATTTAGGCTATAAAAATATCCTAATTATCATTTTAATACTGGTAACATTTTCTGAGGACCTTTTTCAGGACATTTGCCAGCTTCTTGTTCGACTTTTCCTGTTCCACCTTAAATGCTGCAGTTGCTACATTCTGAACTGCTGCACCATTCAAGATGGAATGGGAAAATTTGAACAAGCAGCTGGTGAAAAAGAAAATGACTTCAGCTTCATGGAGAATTAAAAGGCATGATATGATCTATTTCTGCCTGACAGCTGAGTAACGTTAACTTATTTTTGCTGTTTCAGAGAACCAATAGGTCAGTATTGTTTTGTCCTGTTTGCTAATGTTTGTGAGAGCTAATCACAACTGCTGCCCCATTTAAGGTGGAACACAAACATTCAAGCAAGAAGCTGTGAAAAAAGAAGCTTAATTCAGGCTCATATTTTAACACTGGTAATATTTTTTGTAAGTGTCACGCTTCCCTTCGGCTCCCAAGCCGAGCAGAACTCCAACTCCCATGATGCCTCTGACTCCCACGTGACTCCTAACCAGAGTCATGTGAATTACCCACGTTCCTAATCACCCAAATACTGATTGTTTGCACCTGTGTCCCAACCTATTTAGACTCTTATGTTGTTCAGTTCTCTGCCGAGTTTTGACTGGCCATCTAGCATTACGAAGCGTTCATTGTCTGTTTGAGTTCTTGCGTTTTGACCTTTGCTTGTTTATTACTCCGAGTTTTGCCTCTCCCTTTTGTATTCTGTTTTGCCGGTTTTGGATTTGTGCTTCATTATTCGACTACGTCTCTTGGTATGCCCCTCTACTACTTCTGTTTTTTGCTGTTGCTGACCTGGACTGTTTTTGACTACCCCTTCGTGCCTAAGCCCTTTATTAAAAACTCATTTTAATCTGCAAGTGTCTGATTTCTGTCCAGTCCTGACAGTAAGGAGTTTTATCCGAGCAAAATATCCTACCTAGAGGTTTCATTTACAGGTGTGCCTGTAATTATGTGCTACGGTATAACATTTTGATAAGGTAGCACAACTTACCAGAACACCACCACAACTCGACTTAGTTTCATATAGCTTAGTAACATCAAATTGACTGATAAATCTCCACATCACTGTTAGTCTAAGTTTAGGACATCTTAGTTTCTAAGAGGAACATTTCTTAAATCATGCTTACCTCATATCAGTAAAACATTCTACTTCTCTGAAGTGTACTGGCTGACCCATTGAGTGGTCACTCTTCATGGACACATAGCTGGGTTCAGGTGAATCTGATCTCTTTCCTTCAGTCAGAGTAAAACACACCCAAACACTGTATTTAATAACTGTAATCAGAGCAGGCAAATCACCAAACTGCACTTGACATCAGCCCCCAAGGAGCAGAACTAGAGACCCCTCCTCTAAATTCTTCTTAGTTTAGATGGGTTCAAGAGCCTGGTGATATTCTTTATTTATAATTTGCTGTTTTTGTCCATGGTAAATTACATTATTTAGCAGGTAAATGTAATTTCTTTACGACGTGACATGTTCTGAACAAATCACTTTACTGTTCCTGGTACAGCATTCCTTTTAACCAAATCACTGCAAACTTCTTCCTGAGGCTTTTGAAAATCCTCAAAATTCATCAGTCTGTCAGGATTTAAATTTATAAGGAAAACTGCTTATTTTTTTCTTTAGCTGCATTCAATCATATAAAAGCTTAAATGAGAACTCTCATTTCAAAGTGTTGCTAAGTAACATTCTAAGATTATCTGACATGTTTAAAATGCCACTCCAAAACATGCAGGCACTCTGAGTTATTGAAAATATTGAAGCCTGTACAATTGTTATTTTTGATGATGATGAGCCTAGATTCAAGGGATAGTTTTATCCGATTTTACACATTAAAATCCATGTTCTCATCGTCAACATTTCTAAATGAAAAAGATTTTAATGCAGCCTGTGAGTCCATAAATTTTTCTTTGGTAAGATTTTGACTCTTGGTGACGTAATCATAAGACAAAATGGTTCGGCATCATAAGAGACAGATCAGTAGGTGTTACTGCGTCTGCCCAGGCTTCACTCAGGAGCAGGATTTTCACAGAACAATAACATCCCAAATGCCAAATGACCAGATGTACAAATAATCCTTTATTATTCATGTTTTCATTATATACAGCTCCATTTCCAAAAAAGTTGGGATGCTGTGCAAAGTGTAAAAATAGAATGCAATAATGTGCAAATCATTTAAACCCTACCTGAGAAATGTTTTTTGAAAAATATATGCCCATTTTGAGTTTGATGCCAGCAACGCATTTCAAAAAAGTTGGGATGGGGGCAACAAAAGACTGGTAAAGTTGTGTAAAAAACCCACCTGAAATAATTGGTCACTTCAGTTTCCAAATGCTCACAGAGTGTTGTTAAAAGAAGAGGTGATGAAACACAGTGGTAAACATGCCCTGTCCCAACTTTTTTGGAATGTGTTGTTGGCATTAAATTCAAAATGGGCATATATTTTTCAACATTTGATATGTTGTCTTTGTACTATTTCTAATTAAATATAGGGTTTACATGATTTGCGCATCCATCGTTGCATTCCATTCTTATTTACATTTTGCATAGCATTCCAACTTTTTTGGAAATGGGGTTGTATACAGTCAACTGTGTGGCTGCAGGTTTTATTCCAACAAAGCAGGAGCACACCTGATAAACTGAAGACAGAGACCAACTGACTATACTAGAATCAGGTGTGCGCCTGCTCTATTGGACTGAAAACCTGCAGCTAAACTGGCACTTTACAGGTAATATTTGACATTAGAATATATTTGTCTTAGAAAAAGCTTATAGAGACTTCAATGAGAATAAATGTGTGAATTTCTCAGACTATGGTTGGGCAATTTGAACCATTTTCACATGACTTGTTTTCAGAGAGCCCAAAGATTTGGATTGCATAGGTCAGAACAGCTTTGAACCAGCTTTTACATTTCTATTGCCTACTTGTTAACAAGCTCAATAGCCAAACTTGCATGCTCCCTAGACAGGTAGTTAAGTGTGCTAAGAGTAAGAGTTCTCATTCAAATAAATCATCAAACAGGTGTAGATTCAGAAGTTTTACATAGCCTGATGTTTCAATTTGCCACCGTGCTTTAACACTGAACTGGCCAGATACCTCCCACAATTAGAGTCTAAGGAGCATGAATGACATCAAGCCTGTATTAACTCTTAATGGAGAAGTGTATAAAAAAGGCTGTATAGTAAAGACAAGCAGAGAAAGAAATAAAAAGATATTTTACAACTCGACTTCACTTAGGAACTGGAAGGAGCTACACAATGGTATACTTTTCTGGAAAACAATACGTTTTGGAAGGACTTTGTTAATGCCTCAGCTAACATTAGCCAGCAACACATACGGACTATTGATAGTGCTTTTTTGAGCTTAAATGTTTGCCTATATTTAGCTGCAGTAAATGTTTCATTTTTTCAACAATTAAAAATATTGCTTAATTTTATGACCTGAAGCACTGAATAGGATTGTTGCATTTTGGAGAGAATTTGTGGCTCAGGGATTAGTAGCTCTCAGACAGTGATGATATCAGATGGCAGTATTTGGCTAAATGTTATTACAGGAATAGGCTAGGGATATTGGTCCAGTAACATGAATTGCTTGAAGAAATCACGTAAACCTTTTCCTGGAACATTTTGAGCTTTAGTGTCTTGTTTAAAGGCACAGTGTCTGTATGTATCAGTGATCATCAGCTGGGACTGAAGCTCTTGATCCAAAGCTCAGTTCTATGACTGCTTAGCTACCTTATCAACTGAAAACACTTCATCAGCACATCTGTGTTCACAGTGTCACACTATTCTCACATCTGGCCTTTCTTTTTGTGCTTTTTCCAAGGAAGACAAATTTTGGAAGTCATGACTTCTCCTACAGAATTAAACATAAACACACAAATGCAGAAAAACAATGCAGTCTCTTAATTGAATAGAAATATGGGTCATAGGGCATGGCTAAATCATTTCAGACATGCAGAGAAATACTGAAAGATACTCACTGTGTTTCCTCTAATGTTAATGAATGCAGCTAGACTGAAACAAGTACACTCACAATATTCACAGCTGGTGGAAAAAACCTACAACCACTGACCTGAGAACAGTACAGCTTTTCCTCTTAAACCAGCATCCGGGTAGAGCGAGCTGCTCCCAGATCAGAGACAGATCCTCACTCAGGTAGTAGACTAGCCCCGCCCACAGCAGGTCACAGGTAAGAGTGTTTTACAGCCTGTTCACTGATCATCTTATTAGTGTGCTTTTAGAGTCTTCTCCAAACTAGAGATGAACACTAGTAATGGACCGAGTACTTGTTATGAATACAAACTTTAAAAGTATTTAGTAAAATACTACTTGAAAATGACCATGTCTATACCAAAAATGTAATTATTTTTGTGCATGAAATTTCAAGTATTTGGCAGCCAAAGCCATAAGGTTGACAACAGTAGAAACATTTTTGGCTAACGTTAACACCAACTTAGAGTGAGGTTGAAAACTAAGATTGGTATCATAAAATACTTAAACGTTTACATAGTCTGGTTCAAGAACATTCAGTGTTTGGCATGTGGCCACTCCAAACTGCTTTTGCCAGCTAATTTACCACTCATATTATTTGAGACTTGCTATTACACCACATAGCACACAAAAGAAAGACAACAGCTATTATAGGTTTTATTCATAATGCAACTGGCGAATAGTAGCTTGCATTAATATTATTCAGTCTGACAAAATTAACGTGAGCTAAATCTGATTACTGTATAAAGTTATATGATTATAATTTAGAATTGAAAAATTCTACACTCAACAAATTACACAACAACAATCACTTATCTAAAGATTTTAATGTGGTCTATGTTCCTCTCATGACTAAAACAGAACTCCTCAGGCAGACTATAATGTGTGTTCTGAGAACATTATCTGATTTCTCATTCCTACTGAATCTCAAAGTTCATTTACTTATCAAAGTTCACAGGTTTTATGTTTCTGCTGAGCAAAGATCACAAAAGTAATAAAAGCTTTGCCAGTAATACACAAAGATACTGTCCATTTAAAAAGACTTCAACTTGTGTATTTAAACTCACGAGATAGATACTCTGTTAAAATGAAGGATTAGCAGAATGCAGTCCAATGAAATAATAAATAGATCAGTCAGAAAAGGCCATTTGAAGTGGCCACACCCCAAAACCCTGAATATTCTTGAACCAGACTGTGTAAAGGTAGTAGGTATTTTATGATAAGTATCTGGTTAAATATGAATGAATGAAAGGATGATGCTAGAAAGAGAAGTGTTATTATTGACTATTAAGCTCAGAGTGGTACTCTCACTGCTGCAGACTGGCTGCACAAACTCCAACTCCATGTTTCACAGCACAGATCCAACAGTATAACAGTAATTTGTCCCCAGTATCATAAAAAGTACAATAAAATCCAGCTTACAGTCTGATTAATGATCACACTGGCCCTGAAAGGGTGTTACACCAGCAGGGGGCATTATTTTCTTTTGTGAGAAAAGAGTCTTACAGAAGGTCATTTATCACATATGTGTGTTGCGCTGGTGTGAGTGGATCAGACACAGCAGTGCTGCTGGAGTTTTTAAACACCTCAGTGTCACTGCTGGACTGAGAATAGTCCACCAACCAAAAATGTCCAGCCAACAGCGTCCTGTGGGCAGCGTCCTGTGACCACTGATGAAGGACTAGAGGATGACCAACACAAACTGTGCAGCAGCAGATGAGCTATCATCTCTGACTTTACATCTACAAGGTGGACCGACAAGGTAGGAGTGTCTAATAGAGTGGACAGTGAGTGGACACAGTGTTTAAAAACTCCAGCAGCACTGCTGTGTCTGATCCACTCGCACCAGCACCACGTCAGTGTCATTGCTGAGAATGATCCACCACCCAAATAGTACCTGCTCTGTGGGGGTCCTGACCATTGAAGAACAGGGTAAAAGGGGGCTAACAAAGTATCAGAGAAACAGATGGACTACAGTCTGTAACTGTAGAACTACAAAGTGCACCTATATAGTAAGTGGAGCTGATAAATGGACAATGAGCGTAAAAACAAGGAGGTGCTCATAATGTTATGCCTGATCAGTTCATGTGAAGAGCTTTTTTGAGAGTTTGTGTGGGATGACCGTGTTAAATGCTGAGCCGTAGTCAATAAAGAGCATTCTAACATACGTGTCCTTGCCCTCCAGGTGTGTGAGGGCTGTGTGAAGGGCAGTGTTCACTGCGTTGTCTGTGGACTGGTTCCGACTGTATGCAAACTGGATCTATAGTGTTCGGAATGGTCTTCTGGATATGAGTCATGACTATTCTCTCGAAGCACTTCATCACGATCGGGGTGAGTGCAACAGGGCGATAGTCATTTAGGCAGGTCACAAAGCTTTTCTTTGGGAGGGGCACGATGGTGGTGGTCTTAAAGCAGGATGGCCTGCGCGAGGGACAGGTTGAATATGTCCACAAACACGTCAGCCAGTTCTAATGAGCAAACCCTGAGTGCACGCCTGGGGATGTTGTCTGGGCCAGCTGCTCTCCGTGGGTTTATTCTCTTTAAGGACCTGCACACATCCACTGATGTCACAGTGAGCGATGCGTTCTGTGTGCTCTCCTTAGCCATAGCGTCTCTCAGTCGGCCAGGGGTGAGGGCCTCCAAGCGAGCATAGAACTCATTCAGCTCATCAGGTAGTGTAGTGTGGCTGGTTGTGACCACCCTGCTTGTCTGTTGGTAGTCGGTGATGTGTTGCAGTCCTTGCCACATGCGCCGGGAGTTCACGGTGGTGTAGTAGCCCTCCACCTTCAGCCTGTACTGTCTCTTGGCCTCTCTGATAGATCTACGCAGATCATATCTGGACCTTTTGTAGTCTTCAGCATTGCCTGAAAGAAATGTAGCATAATGAGCACGTAGCATGGGTCGAACTTCACTGTTTATCCAAGGTTTCTGGTTGGGGTATTTTCTGCAGCACTTTGTAGGAACAATGCTTTCAATGCAGCTGCTGATGTAGCCTGTTACGCCAGAAGCATAGTCCTCTAGATCAACAGTACTGTCCTCTCTCACAGCAGCAGTTCTGAACACATCCCAGTTTGTACTGCCAAAGCAGTCCTGAAGCACTTGATCAGTTTCTTCATTCAACACTTTGATAGTTTTACTCACTGGAAGTGCTTGCTTGAGGACTTGTCTGTATGCTGGGTAGAGGAACACGGAGATGTGGTCGGACTGTCCGAAGTGCGGCTGAGGCACAGCCCAGTAGGCCCCCCCTCACGTTGCTGTAGACTTGGTCGATTATGTTGCTCTCCCTCGTTGGAAAGCTCACGTGCCGATGATGCTTGGGGTGGACGGTACTCAGGTTGCAGTGGTTGAAGTCGCCGGCAACAATGAACACAGCTTCCGGGTGTGCGGCCTCTTGTTTACTAATGGCGTCATGCAGCAGCCCCAGCACCATGGCCGAGTTTGCACGTGGCGGGATGTAAACAGCCAGAATAAACACAGCGCTGAACTTTCTCGGCAGATAGAAAAGTCTGCACTTCACCATAAGCAGTTCTAAGTCAGCTGAACAATGTTTTTACATCAGAACACCACCTGTTGTTCACGTAGATGCAGACACCGCCACCTTTGTTCTTCCCCGATGTTGCCGTGCAGTGCCCGCAGTGGACGGAGTGCGTTTCTAACTGGATCGCTGAGTCTGGCGTGCTGTCCGAGAGCCAGGTTTCCATGAGAATAAGAGCACAGCACTCTCTGATCTCACGCTGAGTTGCTATTCTGGTTCTCAGCTCATTCAGCTTGTTTTCGAGAGAGCGAACATTAGCTAGCAACAAGCTAGGTAGTGGTGGCCGCATAGCCCTAGCCTTTAGCCTAGCATGTAGCCCACCTCTCTTGCCCCGCTTCTGCTTTGGCTGCTGTGTTCGTCGGCTGCGCCGCTCACCCGAGGCCGGTGCTGCTGGGCCTTGCCGGTTGGTGCTGGTGGAGTACGAGTGTAAAAGAAAGTTGAAGTCTGAAAGGCTAAAGATAAGTTCATGACGAACTTTACCGATCTCCAGGAGTGCCCCCACTGAGCAAAGACACGTCCAAAAGACGTCGAGGTAATGTCTTTGTCAGACATTCAAAAGACGTCCACTGAAAAGCCAGAATGAAAGTTTTTGTGACGTCTTTATTGAATGTCTTTTAAACGTCCATTATACACGTCCACTGGATGTCAGTAATAGACGTTCAAAAGACATCCACAGACAAGGCAGAATGAAAGTTTTTGCAACGTCTTTATTAAACGTCTTTTAAATGTCCATTATTGACATCAACTGGACGCCAGCAATAGACGTTCAAAAGACGTTGCAAAAACTTTCATTTTGGGTTCTCTGTAGATGTCTTTTGAACGTTCGACTCAGACATTATATTGACGTCTTTCTAAGTGTCTTTTAAACGTTCACCATGGACGTCCAAAAACGTCTTTATAGAGTTCACGCTGAAAATTCCAACAATGTCATTTCAGATTTCTTTTCAACATCAGTTCTAGGCTTCCAAAGATCAGCTACAGTTCAAAATCAAAGTTTTATGAAATCTAAGATAACCTTTAAGATTTTAAATCACCTTTATTGAAAACCATGTTTTGTTCATCAAACCTTAATCTGCCTACGCTATTGTTCCAAGCATTTAATAATGAAATAAATAGTAAATTAAAAAAACACCACTCAGATTTCAGTATAGCCTTACAATTGGATATGCATGACTGATCTGTTAAAAAAATGACACATTTTTGAAATGAGATAAACATCTTTAATGAGGTTTTTAGCAAAATATTAGCATTTGTGTATCACAATGTAAAAAAAAAAATCCAACACCTTGTGTTTATGGCGTACTTGCAGGTGTAGCTAAATGAAACTAAGAAAGCAAATATTTGTTTTTAAATGTAGGACAGGACAAAAATAGAGCCCCCTGAACATTCAATTAAAATAGAAACCCACAGAATTTGTGCAGCGCTCACAAAGTACTTCATTTCCACCCCTGCATGTCCTCCACCTCCCTTCCTCCCTGGTGCATGTTTAAGATGTTCAGCTGCATGATGCTTTATTACAGCTTCTGTAGCTT